TCAGAGAAAGAGATTTTGTTTAACAAGTAATACTTTTTTTTCTCAAAAAGGTAGGGGTTAAAATTGACACCCCCTTTCAATACCTCATCTTGTGAGGATGACGGTATTGAGCCTTTTTCTAAAATGTTTTATGAGTTGGAGTGATCTTAGACCATTCCTACATACAGAATCCTTCCAAATGACCAACTACAGGAAGGTAAAGGTACAACTAAACACACAATAAAGAAACAAATCTCCCTAATTGACAGGAGGCTCGAATCTTAGTCATTTATGCACCGGCCTCTTACTATTATCCCAATTTATACATTCTACCAACATCATACATAAATAATCCCTGGTAGGATCCTTACCTTGCAGCCTGAATTCAAAACCAGAACATGTCAAATCATTGAGATTTTCCTTTATGCTTAGAAAGAAACCTTGGGAAAAGTTTATTCACCTCCCCAATGCCAAGTGACTTTGTGTAATTTTTGTTACTGATTAATTTAACATCTGCTAAAGTCTAGTGACATTGACCCAATGTAAGAATAATCAGAAAACCAGTTGAACCTGTTTAGGAGAAAAGCCATGGGTTTACAACATCGCTGTGTAGCTACTGCTAGTGGTCTCATGGGTGGAATGTATTTTATATTTTTCATAATTTCATCATTAATAAACATTATAAACATTAATAAAAATCTGGTGTTTCTATGTCAAACGGTTTTGTTATATTTCAGTCTTCTGTGATGTATATAAAGTGTAATACTGGGATGCAAACTCAAAATTGAATACATTTCAACTCTATATCTGACATGGTACAGGTGTCTTCTTTTTTTTAAGACCATAACCATGTGTGTGAGGTGTGTATATTCGTTTAAAGTAGATTTGTTTAAGAATACCAAGAAACACTCTGTGTAACCCTGATTTAGCCCACTGCAGTACAAGATTAATCATTAAAAACAATACGGTATGAACAACTTGCAGTGTCCAGGACCAGTGATTCATGTCTGAATCACTGTCCCAAATGACACCCTATTCCCTACATAGTGCACTACTTTTGACCAGGGCCTACAGGGCTGTGTAGTGCACTATAGGGAATTGGGCACCATTTGAGGAGGCAGACTGAGTGTTTCCAGTCTTCTCTCTCTCTCTCTCTCTCTCTCCTCTCTCTCTCCTCTCTCTCCCTCTCTCGTCCTCTCCCTCTCTCTCCCTCTCCCTCTCTCATCTTCCCTCCTCCTCTCTCTCCTCTCTCTCAACCTCCTCTCTCTCTCTCTCTCTCTCTGCCTGTGATTTCACAATGATGCAGTCAAGATTCATTCCAAAATACACCTGAACACCACAGCACATCCTCTCATTACAGACTCAATAGACTCCTGAACACCACAGCACATCCTCTCATGGCAGACTCAATAGACTCCTGAACACAACAGCACATCCTCTCATTACAGACTCAATAGACTCCTGAACACCACAGCACATCCTCTCATGGCAGACTCAATAGACTCCTGAACACCACAGCACATCCTCTCATGGCAGACTCAATAGACTCCTGAACACAACAGCACATCCTCTCATTACAGACTCAATAGACTCCTGAACACCACAGCACATCCTCTCATGGCAGACTCAATAGACTCCTGAACACAACAGCACATCCTCTCATTACAGACTCAATAGACTCCTGAACACCACAGCACATCCTCTCATGGCAGACTCAATAGACTCCTGAACACCACAGCACATCCTCTCATGGCAGACTCAATAGACTCCTGAAAGACACAGGACATCCTGGTTTCTATTGGGTTCGTTTTATTACCATGAATGTAGGAATGACAAACTAACAAAACTGTGTCCAGTCTCCACACTCCACTCTCTCACAAACATAAACTCTGACCTGTCTAATGAGACAAACTGATTAAAGAATTCCACAGTACTCTCTCCCTCTCTCCCCCCCTCCCTCCCCTGCCAGGCTGTTAGGTTAATGGACTATGGAAACCTACTGACAATCTGCCATACAGAATCTGCTACAAATTAACATTATTAAAATGTTTTTGTAAGAAAAAATACGAAAAAAATACATTAAACACATTTCCATGTATGTTGTTCTCTCGCTGTTTGCGGGACTAGAAATAGGGTTCAATCAGGTCAATACAGCCAGATAATTAATTATATATCCTCAAACCTTAGGCTCATGTCCATCCACATGCTGGCTTAAACCTAACCCTAGCTTCAACCCAACCCTATCCCTAACCCTAACCCAACTCTATACCTAACCCTAACCCAACCCTATCCTTAACCCTAACCCAACTCTATCCCTAACCCTAACCCAACTCTATCCTTAACCCTAACCCAACTCTATCCCTAACCCTAACCCAACTCTATCCCTAACCCTAACCCAACTCTATCCCTAACCCTAACCCAACTCTTTCCCTAACCCTAACCCAACTCTATCCTTAATCCTAACCCAACTCTATCCCTAACCCAACTCTATCCTTAACCCTAACCCAGCTCTATCCCTAACCCAACTCTATCCTTAACCCTAACCCAACTCTATCCCTAACCCTAACCCAACTCTATCCCTAACCCTAACCCAACTCTATCCCTAACCCTAACCCAACTCTATCCCTAACCCTAACCCTAACCCAACTCTATCCCTAACCCTAACCCAACTATATCCCTAACCCTAACCCAACTCTATCCCTAACCCTAACCCAACTCTATCCTTAACCCTAACCAAACGCAATCCCTAACCCTAACCCAACCCTAGCTCCAAGCAATAGCACTGAGGCAAGGACTTATGCCAAGTTGTTTGGATGAATTGTGATCTGCATGATTTTTTAACAAGCAACCACTCTACTACAAAGTTCATATTCAATGTGATAAAAACAACTTGTTCCTTACTTTTTATTTTGTTTTTAGAAACCACTTTTCAGACCTTGTTTTTCCATTACCACATTTAAATATACATTTAAATGTACCCCTTGATTTCTGTTGAAATATTTAGTGTTTGTGTGTGTATCTTGTTACCACGTTTCCAGCAGAAGGGTATCCAGGTGGGTATCTGAAGTTCAATTGATCCTGATTGTTTACAGGTTTGATGCCAGGAACAACTAGTGAAGATATCGACACACAAGAGCTTTCATTGGTTCTATGGTTGGTTCAACTAGATATGTATTCTGTACCTCATTATAGATCCATCTGTGGTTGGTTCAGCTAGATATGTATTCTGTATCTCATTATAGATCCATCTGTGGTTGGTTCAACTAGATATGTATTTTGTACCTCATTATAGATCCATCTGTCGTTGGTTCAGCTAGATATGTATTCTGTACCTCATTATAGATCCATCTGTGGTTGGTTCAACTAGATATGTATTCTGTACCTCATTATAGATCCATCTGTGGTTGGTTCAGCTAGATATGTATTCTCTACCTCATTATTGATCCATCTGTCAGTATCGTAAACAATGAACTGAGCTCAACAAAGCAACTAAACCCCACTATGTATTAAAGGTGCTCTAACAATGAACTGAGCTCAAAAAAGCAACTCAACACCACTATGTACTAAAGGTGCTCTAACAATGAACTGAGCTCAACAAAGCAACTCAACCCCACTATGTACTAAAGGTGCTCTAACAATGAACTGAGCTCAACAAAGCAACTCAACCCCACTATGTACTAAAGGTGCTCTAACAATGAACTGAGCTCAACAAAGCAACTTAACCCCACTATGTACTATAGGTGCTCTAACAATGAACTGAGCTCAACAAAGCAACTTAACCCCACTATGTACTAAAGGTGCTTTAACAATTAACTGAGCTCAACAAAGCAACTCAACCCCACTATGTACTAAAGGTATGTAGACATGCAATAAATATTCAACAGCAAACACTATGCACATCTTTCCACTGGAACCGTGGATTGTCTGTTATTCTCTGTAGTTTACTCACACATGGGTATGTATAATGTAGACCTGGGTTCAAATAGGATTTGTTTTCTTACAAATGCCTTAGCTGGGCTTGATTGAGCTTGCCTGGCACAATGAAACCAATGGAATATTGCCAAATGTACAAACACTCAAAAATGTAATCAAATGCTCAAAGTGTTTGACGGAAAACAAATACTATTTGAACCCATGTTGGGTATGTGGTCCTATTAGTTTCCTGATTCAGATCTGTTTAAACCAACTATTAGTTTCCTGATTCAGATCTGTTTAAAACAACTATTAGTATCCTGATTCAGATCTGTTTAAAACAACTCTTGGTTTCCTTATTCAGATCTGTTTAAACCAACTATTAGTTTCCTGATTCAGATCTGTTTAAACCAACTATTAGTATCCTGATTCAGATCTGTTTAAAACAACTCTTGGTTTCCTTATTCAGATCTGTTTAAACCAACTCTTAGTTTCCTGATTCCGATCTGTTTAAACCAACTCTTAGTTTCCTGATTCAGATCTGTTTAAACCAACTCTTAGTTTCCTGATTCAGATCTGTTTAAACCAACTCTTAGTTTCCTGATTCAGAAGTGTTTAAACCAACTCTTCTGACTCATTGTCATGCCATGTATGTCTAAAGGAGTTGGCTAAAGCACACACAGATCTGGGACCAAACTAATGTATCCGTGGGTTGCCAGTTAGACTGTTTGTCTGGTCTCTGGTCTGTGGTCAGCAGTGGTGGCTGGTGGCATGGAGGACAGGCTCATAATAATGTCTGGAATAAAATGAATGGAATGGTATCAAACGCGTCAAACACATACGTACAATTCCATTCACTTCATTCCAGCCCTTATTATGAGCCGTTCATCCTCCCCTTACCAGCCTCCTTTGGTGGTCAGTGGGCACAGCATGGTTGGGCTCAATTCCATTTAATTTTCAATCAATTCAGAAGGTAAACCTCATTAAGAAGCATTGAAGAGAATTGTAACGTTAGTGTACTTCCTGAATTGACTCCAACCCTGGGGCAAAGTGCTGTGTTCTGCTGGTGGTGGTGGTGTGAGGCCTTAACCTCAGCCTCCCTCCCTCTCTCATTCCCTCTTCCTCAGTACCATGGAGATGAGACCACTGACCAGATACAGAGGGAAGGACACCCAGGCCAGGACGTAGGCAAAGCCCAACGCAGCATCCACCTCCCTATCCGGACACATCACCGTGTAGATTATTGAGCCACACATCACAAACAGACCTGGAGAGAGAGGAAGGGGGAGGAAGGGGGTAGATCGGGAGGGAAAGGGAGTAGGTCGAGACCGAGCTATAGAGAGAGTAGAAGAGAGATATAGCGATAGACGAGAAGATAGAGAGAGATATGAGATCTAGCAGAGATAGAGAGGATACTCTAGGAGATAGCTAGTAGATAGCGATATGATAGATAGAAAGACATATAATAGTAGATCGAGCAGAGAAGAGAGAGAGAAATATATATATACATATAGAGAGAGTGGACAGAGAGACAGAGAGAGGGGAAAAATGCATGGTTAGTTTTAGACAGATGTTGAGGATCATTAATTTTTTGGACCACACCTAATCCTTTTGTGACAGGACTTGGTTCTGTTCTGTATATTGTGCGGGCGCTGACTCTGCTAGTTTCCACTAGTTAACCCCTGAGCCAGGAGAACCTCGGCCACATGCATTAACTTTATCCAGCCACCTCCACCCACATGATCAAAAATGACGGTTAGCTCGCTAAGACACAGTATATAGCATGAGATTTGGTTCGTTTCAACTTCAGAGATTTTTTTTGACAACCTAACATTGAGACATTAACCCCAACCTGTATTAATGGACCTAACATTGAGACAGTAAACCAAACCTTGTTATGAATGGACCTAACATTGAGACAGTAAACCAAACCTTTATTAATGGACCTAACATTGAGACAGTTAAACCAAACCTTCTATTAATGGACCTAAACATTGAGACAGTAAACCAAACCTTGTATTAAGGGACCTAACATTGAGACAGTAAACCAAACCTTGTATTAATGGACCTAACATTGAGACAGTAAACCAAGCCTTGTATTATGGGACCTAACATTGAGACAGTAAACCAAACCTTGTATTAAGGGACCTAACATTGAGACAGTAAACCAAGCCTTGTATTATGGGACCTAACATTGAGACAGTAAACCAAACCTTGTATTAAGGGACCTAACATTGAGACAGTAAACCAAACCTTGTATTAATGGACCTAACATTGAGACAGTAAACCAAGCCTTGTATGAAGGGACCTAACATTGAGACAGTAAACCAAACCTTGTATTAATGGACCTAACATTGAGACAGTAAACCAAACCTTGTAGTAATGGACCTAACATTGAGACAGTAAACCAAACCTTGTATGAAGGGACCTAACATTGAGACAGTAAACCAAACCTTGTAGTAAGGGACCTAACATTGAGACAGTAAACAACCGTCGTAGTAAGCGACCCCAGTGCCCTGATTACTCATTGTTGACAGATTCCAGGTTGGTAAAATAAAGCATTTTAATCCAGATGAGGTTAAAAAGGTTCCAAGTGATATGAACGGCAAAAAGGTCAAATCCTAAAGTACAAAATGACAAGTAGCAACAGGCGAATTAAATCCAAAAGAAATGGTAGAAAACTGTATCTCTACTAGGAGTCTTCCATCAGGTCAATCAGCTGTCCTAATGAGTTACTGACGCCATCTGTATCTCTACTAGGAGTCTTCCATCAGGTCAATCAGCTGTCCTAATGAGTTACTGACACCATCTGTATCTCTACTAGGAGTCTTCCATCAGGTCAATCAGCTGTCCTAATGAGTTACTGACACCATCTGTATCTCTACTAGGAGTCTTCCATCAGGTCAATCAGCTGTTCTAATGAGTTACTGACACCATCTGTATCTCTACTAGGAGTCTTCCATCAGGTCCATCAGCTGTCCTAATGAGTTACTGACACCATCTGTATCTCTACTAGGAGTCTTCCATCAGGTCCATCAGCTGTCCTAATGAGTTACTGACACCATCTGTATCTCTACAAGGAGTCTTCCATCAGGTCAATCAGCTGTCCTAATGAGTTACTGACACCATCTGTATCTCTACTAGGAGTCTTCCATCAGGTCAATCAGCTGTCCTAATGAGTTACTGACACCATCTGTATCTCTACTAGGAGTCTTCCATCAGGTCAATCAGCTGTCCTAATGAGTTACTGACGCCATCTGTATCTCTACTAGGAGTCTTCCATCAGGTCAATCAGCTGTCCCTAATGAGTTACTGACACCATCTGTATCTCTACTAGGAGTCTTCCATCAGGTCAATCAGCTGTCCTAATGAGTTACTGACGCCATCTGTATCTCTACTAGGAGTCTTCCATCAGGTCAATCAGCTGTCCTAATGAGTTACTGACGCCATCTGTATCTCTACTAGGAGTCTTCCATCAGGTCAATCAGCTGTCCCAATGAGTTACTGACACCATCTGTATCTCTACTAGGAGTCTTCCATCAGGTCAATCAGCTGTCCTAATGAGTTACTGACACCATCTTTACCATTAGATGTACAATTGCGCGACTAAGAACTGTTCGGTAAAAACGTAAAAATGAATGACAGATTTCTTGAATCATCTTACTTCTTCTTCTTCTTCTTCAATGAGGTTTAACGGCAGTTGGCATCCAATTGTCACGAATTCCGCCGAGACTGCTCCTCCTCCTTGTTCGGGCAGGCTTCGGCGTTCGTCGTCCCCGGAGTACTAGCTGCTACCGCTTGATGTTCTCTATGTTTGTTTGGTTTTGTCTTGTTGGTGCACCTGTTTTGTCTTATGTATTGATTATGTCACCTATACGTTTCCTTTGGTTTTGTTTGCAGTTGTGTGTTGTTGTCCGCCTGTCCGTTGGTGCATTATTATTGTTCTCTAGTTGTTAGTGTTTTTACGCACTGTTTGCGTAATCGCTCGCCTCCTGTGTTTGAGGCCCGTTATTTTGTATTGTCTTTGTGACAAGTAAAGTCGTTTTGACTAAGCTTCTGTGTCCTGCGCCTGACTCCAACACCACATCCACATCAGCTTGTGACAGAACAACACACCATACTATGGAGTCAGCAGGAGCAGCGGCGGCGACCGAGTCGCTGGAGGATTGGGTCAGCTGCCAGGACGCCAGGATCCAGCAACTCGGCTACGCCATGCAGGAGGTGATGAACACCCTGCGCCGATGGGAAAGGGGAGGCGTGCCCACACCTCCTCCTACATTACCACCACCATCGGCCAGCCCCACCATACCAGCTCCGGAATCCAGTGGGATTCGGCTCTCGCTCCCGAGGGCGTATGATGGCACCGCAGCCGGGTGTCAGGGGTTCCTCCTTCAGGTGGAACTCTACCTGGCCACCATACACCCGGCGCCCTCGGGATACGAGAGCGTTTCCGCCCTCATCTCCTGTCTCTCCGGCAAGGCGTTGGAGTGGGCCAACGCCGAATGGAGGGGAATAGACGCCGCCACCATCAGCTACGCGGAGTTCTCCCGCCGCTTCAGGGCTGTTTTCAATCACCCTCCTGAGGGTAAAGCGGCGGGGGAGCGTCTGTTCCACCTCCGACAGGGGAAGAGGAGCGCACAGGAGTTCGCCCTGGATTTCCGGACTCTAGCGGCGGATGCGGGGTGGAATGAGAGGGCCCTCATCGACCACTATCGGTGTAGCCTGCGTGAGGACGTTCGTCGAGACCTGGCCTGCAGGGACACAAATCTGTCCTTCGACTAGCTGGTGGACATGTCCATCCGTCTGGATACCCTGCTGGCCACCCGTGGACGTCCCGAGTTGGGGCCGTCCATTCCATCCCCCAGCACCTCCGAGCCAAGCCCTATGGAGCTCGGGGGTGCTGGCGCTAGAGAGAGGAGGAGAGAGAACCCGAGGGGGGCCGTCCCCTGCACCAACTATGGCCGTGGAGGACACACTGTGGCTAGGTGCTGGGGAGGGTCTCCAGGGAATCGGGGCAACAGGTCGCACACTGGGGAGTCATTTCAGGTGAGTAGGCGCCCCACTCACCCAGAGCTCTCTGTTGTTCACTTGTGTATACCTGTGGTATTTCCTCAGGTTGCATCTCATTCCCAGCATAAGGCGCTAGTCGATTCAGGCGCAGCTGGGAATTTTATTGATCGGAAATGTTGTACTAAGTTAGGGATTCCCCTCCTGCCCGTTGAGCACCCTTCCCTGTCCATGCCCTAGATAGCCGCCCATTGGGAACTGGGTTGATTAGGGAGGTCACAGCGCCACTAAAGATGAAGAAGCAGGGGGGTCATGAGGAGATCATTCAGTTGTACCTGATTGACTCTCCTGCGTATCCCGTGGTGCTGGGGCTTCCTTGGTTAATCACCCATGACCCCACCATTTCGTGGCAACAGAGGGCTCTCAAGGAATGGTCTGACCAGTGTGTTGGGCGATGTTTAGGTGTTTCCGTTGGGGCGACCACGGTGGAGAGTCCGAACCAAGTGCCCGCAATGCACATTCCCCCTGAGTATGAGGATTTGGAACTCGTGTTCAGCAAGACGAGGGCGACGCGATTGCCACCTCATAGACAGGGAGATTGTGCGATAAACCTCCAGACAGGTGCGGCACTCCCGCGGAGCCATGTGTATCGTCTGTCTCAAGAGGAGACGGCGGCTATGGAGACATACATAGCTGAGTCCCTGAGACAAGGATACATACGGTCCTCCACTTCCCCTGCGTCCTCGAGTTTCTTTTTTGTGAAGAAGAAGGATGGAGGGTTGCGTCCGTGTATTGATTACCTTAGTCTCAATCAGATCACTGTTAAATACAGTTACCCTCTTCCTCTGATTGTGAGTATGACTGAATCATTACGCGGAGCGCGTTTCTTCACAAAACGGATCTCAGGAGCGCCTATAACTTGGTGCGCATTAGGGAGGGAGATGAATGGAAGACAGCATTTAGTACCACCTCAGGTCATTATGAGTATCTCGTCATGCCATACAGGTTAATGAATGCTCCTTCAGTCTTCCAATCATTTGTGGACGAGATCTTCCGGGACCTGCATGGGCAGGGTGTGGTAGTGTACATTGACGACATCCTAGTGTGCTCTTCTACACGAGCCGAGCATGTAGCCCTGGTGCGCCGAGAGTTGGGTAGGCTGTTGGAGCATGACTTGTATGTCAAGGCAGAGAAATGTCTGTTTTTCCAGGAGTCCATCTCCTTCTTGGGTCATCGGTTGTCCGCGTCAGGGGTGAAGATGGAGATTGACCGTGTGTCAGCCGTGCGTAACTGGCAAACCCCAACCACTGTTAAAGAGGTGCAGCAGTTTTTGGGTTTTGCCAATTACTACCGGAGGTTTATCCGGGGTTTTGGACAGGTAGCAGCTCCCATTACTTCCCTGCTGAAGGGGGGCCCGGTGCGTTTGCAGTGTTCGGCTGAGGCGGACAGGGCGTTTTGTAAACTGAAGGACCTGTTCACTTCGGCTCCGGTGCTGGCGCACCCGGACCCCGCTTTAGCGTTCCAGGTAGAGGTGGACGCGTCAGAGGCCGGTATTGGGGCAGTACTGTCGCAACGCTCCGGCACGCCTCCTAAGCTCCGTCCCTGCGCTTTTTATTCTAAAAAGCTCAGCCCGGCGGAGCGTAATTATGACGTAGGGGACAGGGAGCTGTTAGCCGTGGTTCAAGCCCTAAAGGTGTGGAGGCATTGGCTTGAGGGGGCTCAACACCCTTTTCTCATTCTGACTGACCATCGTAACCTGGAGTACAACCGGGCAGCTAGGAGATTGAACCCTCGTCAGGCTAGGTGGAACATGTTTCTGACCCGGTTCGTTTTTAAGATCACTTACATCCCAGGGTCCCAGAACGGTAAGGCAGACGCCCTGTCCCGGCGGTATGACACAGAAGAGAGGTCCATTGAGCCCACTCCCATATTGCCGGAGTCTTGTCTGCTGGCACCGGTGGTATGGGAGGTCGATGCGGAAATTGAGCGGGCGTTACGCACCGACCTTACTCCCCCAGAGTGTCCAGTGGGTCGGACGTACGTGCCGCTCGAGGTCCGTGATCATCTCATTTATTGGGCTCATACGTCACCCTCCTCTGGCCATCCAGGTATTGGCCGGACAGTGCACTGCCTTAGTGTTAAGTACTGGTGGCCAACATTGGCTAGGAACGTGAGGGTTTATGTCTCCTCCTGCTCGGTGTGCGCTCAGTGTAAGGCGCCTAGACACCTGCCCAGGGGGAAGTTACAACCCCTGCCCGTTCCATAACGGCCGTGGTCTCACCTCTCGGTGGACTTTGTCACGGACCTTCCCCCCTCTCAGGGGAATACCACTATTCTGGTCGTTGTGGATCGGTTCTCTAAGGCCTGTCGTCTCATCCCAATGCCGGTCTCCCTACTGCCCTACAGACCGCTGAGGCTTTGTTCACCCACGTCTTCCGGCACTACGGGGTTCCCGAGGATATAGTGTCTGATCGGGGTCCCCAATTCACCTCTAGAGTCTGGAGGGCGTTCATGGAACGCTTGGGGGTCTCGGTTAGCCTTACCTCGGGTTTCCACCCTGAGAGTAATGGGCAGGTGGAGAGAGTGAACCAGGATGTGGGTAGGTTTTTCGAGATCATATTGCCAGGGCCGGCAGGAGGAGTGGTCGGGGTATATCCCCTGGGCAGAGATGGCTCAGAACTCTCTTCGCCACTCCTCTACTAACCTGACCCCTTTCCAGTGCGTGTTAGGGTATCAGCCGGTTCTGGCACCATGGCATCAGAGCCAGATCGAGGCTCCTGCGGTGGATGAGTGGTTTCGGCGCTCGGAGGAGACGTGGAACGCTGCACACGTACATCTGCAGCGGGCCATCCGCAGGCAGAAGGCGAGCGCCGATCTCCACCGCAGTGAGGGTCCAGTATACGCACCTGGAGATCGAGTCTGGCTCTCGACTCGAAACCTGCCCCTTCGCCTGCCCTGCCGGAAGCTTGGCCGGCGGTTTGTGGGGCCATTTAAAGTCCTGAGGAGATTGAACGAGGTGTGTTACAAGTTGCAACTGCCTAATGACTATCACATTAACCCCTCGTTCCATGTGTCTCTCCTCAGGCCGGTGGTAGCTGGTCCACTCCAGGACAGTGAGATAAGAGAGACCCCTCCGGCCCCACTGGACATCGAGGGGCCTCCGGCGTACTCAGTCCGGTCCATCGTGGATTCGAGACGTCGGATGGGGGGTCTACAATATCTCGTGGAGTGGGAGGGGTACGGTCCGGAGGAACGGTGCTGGGTGCCTAGGAGGGACATTTTAGATCCATCCCTCCTGACTGAGTTCCACCGTAGTCATCCTATGCGCCCTGCTCCACGTCCTCCTGGCCGTCCCCGAGGCCGGGGTCAGCGCACGGCTGGAGCCGCGCGTCAAGGGGGGGGTATTGTCACGAATTCGGCCGAGACTGCTCCTCCTCCTTGTTCGGGCAGGCTTCGGCGTTCGTCGTCCCCGGAGTACTAGCTGCTACCGCTTGATGTTCTCTATGTTTGTTTGGTTTTGTCTTGTTGGTGCACATGTTTTGTCTTATGTATTGATTATGTCACCTATAAGTTTCCTTTGGTTTTGTTTGCAGTTGTGTGTTGTTGTCCGCCTGTCCGTTGGTGCATTATTATTGTTCTCTAGTTGTTAGTGTTTTTACGCACTGTTTGCGTAATCGCTCGCCTCCTGTGTTTGAGGCCCGTTATTTTGTATTGTCTTTGTGACAAGTAAAGTCGTTTTGACTAAGCTTCTGTGTCCTGCGCCTGACTCCAACACCGCATCCACATCAGCTTGTGACACCAATATGTTGCATTACCGCCACCTACTAGACTGGAGTACAAATCCCTTATATTTTGCTTGAAAAATAAAATAAAAAATAAAATAAAGAAATACCCTACCATCTAACACTACACTCACAAATTCAAAAAAATAATAATACAAAAAATTTATAAAATAGAATTAACACCACGCTACACCACTATTTACATCTATTTATTCCTACCTCATGGCCTCAACCTAAAAGGATGGGACATCACCACTTAACACACCCTGTAAATCTGCTGATGTCAAGTCTCGCACACCCAAATACCTCTCTGCAGCTGCCACCACAACCTCCATTTTCTTCGACTTACGTTCCATCCCTGCAGTACAATTAATAACCATTGCTATAAATGCTAAAAATCCAATCTTACTGAAACATATATCACTTGTTGCCCTATCCCTCTGTACTGGTACAGATCTACTACTCTCACCACTCCTCCCCCTTGACCCATCTTCCTCTACTTTCTTCACTGCCTCAGCATATGACAACTTCTTCACTACTCTTACCCTGGAAACCTCAACCTGCCTGTCTCGCACGGGACATTTCTGATCCCCAAGCCCCATGGGCACCCCTACAATTAGCACATACCACTACTTTCCCCAATGCTACACATTCCTTTGTCTCATGCCCTTCTGCACACTTCTCACACTTTGGAACCTCCCTCCTACACACTACTGCCACATGCCCATAAGTTTGACAGTAAACTCTTATTCTATAACATTTATTGTTTTAACATTCACACTGCTAGTTTTACACATTATATTTATATATATATACACACTACCGTCATTTAAATAAATATAATATATAATGATCAATATATAACCATATAATAGATATATAGCATTTACTATATGGACACACACACACACACACACACACACACACACACACACACACACACACACACACACACACACACACACACACACACACACACACACACACACACACACACACACACACACACACACACACACACACACACACACACACACATACATTCATACAGTATTGAGAGATAGGGAGAGACAGACAGTTGTGAGGACAATATGTCTGAGAATAAATATGTAGGTTGTAGTTTAGAATGAGTTAAAGGCAGAGGAGGGTACAATAGGACAAGTGTTTTGTCCCTGACCAGTCCTCCTACTGCCAGACCACTGTATCCTGTGTCTCCATCTAAAACGTAATTTCTGTGCCGGCCGTGCGTGGCCACACTAAGAACCAAGACCCAGAAGAAGGGTAAGAAGAGGACATTGTCTGTTACACCAGCTAAGGTGAAGAAGGTGAGATTGGCTGTTACACCAGCTAAGGAGAAGAAGGTGAGATTGGCTGTTACACCAGCTAAGGTGAAGAAGGTGAGATTGTCTGGAAGACCAACAAAGTCCCCTGTCCCCGAGGTGAAGAGGACACCTCCAGTCTATGGGTCTGGTCCCCTTGCCAGGGCCAGATATTACCTGGATTGCCATCAATACCTCCATGCTTTGTTTATGAGGTCACACGTGAAGAAGTACAAAGAGGTCATCATCAAGAGGGAAGGTAGTAGAAGTATGTGATAAGAGTGATTGTTTTTTAGACTTGAGATTATAATTCAGTTGATATGACATACCATATATCTACAATGTAGGATAATAGGATTGTGTGATTTCTATGTACTTTCAGAGAAAGGAGTTAGTGCAGGAAAAAGATGGTCCCTTGTCCCAACTGGTGGAGACAGAGGTCTTTCAGACGTTTTCCTGGAGTGAGACTCTGGCGTGGGCATAGGAGAAGGCACCTTTGATGACCACCTGTTAGAGGGCAACCATTCCCCAGGCCAGAAACCTCAAAGTAGACGTCATCAAAGGTAGAGAAATCACCACAATGTGAGGATTAACCCAATATAATGTTCACACTAGATGTCCAATATCAATCCTTTCACAATTGACATGTTGTATATAGTTGTACCGTTTCTACAAGTCAATTAGTAAAGTAAGTACGCCTCTGACATGTAAGCCATGTCCGAGACAAAAGACTAAAGTAAGAGAAGAAACCTTCTAATGTCTCCTCTTTTCAGAGACGACTTTCAACGTAAGAAGCAGGACCTCCTTGACAGAGGGACATGGATGGTGCTGTCAATGGCCTTGTTCACCAGCAGGCAAAATAAAATGAAGTTTGTACCAACATGCCTGGAGATGGAGCTGTGGAGGGGAGGATGCTGTGAGAAGATATTCTTCACTCTGAACTCCATGACCATCTGCCTATGTTCTGATGCCACTAGAGAACATGTTAACAGGTTGAGGGTCGGCAATGATACCCAGATCATGAAGTGGAAGAAACAGGCTGAGGTAAGTGTGAGTCTTAAACATATGTAAACACAATTTGATTCAGCCTATTTCATAATTCTATTATTTCATTGAATTTCTCTTGGCAGTTGTGGCTCCCAGGTCTACAGCCAATCAAGGACGACCTACCCATCCCCCACTGCTGCTCTCACCCCCCACCCCCCACCCCATCCCCTGACATGCTGGACTCTCAGGTTCTGTTCAATAAAGTGCAGCACAGCACAGTACAGTACAACTTTATTAGTCCATGTTACAGGGAACAAAGGGAATTTGTCTTTCTGAAAGGGGTTGGTCACAGATCTGCCAGTTCAGATCAAATCACACGTTTTGTTGTCTGGCTCAGGACTCAAACCAGTGACCTTTCAGTTACTGGACTAATTCTCAAACTTCCACCTCCTAACACTTCTAGCATGGGCTTTCTAGGCAAAGTTCCTTTTACACTATCCCATGTGTGTAGAAAACATGAGTCAGTCTCATGATCTGGTAATGAGGTAGTCCTGCCTTCAACTTCAAAATCAGTGTCACCCTCAGGTCAAGAAGGCATTACCTCTTGGTCTAATGGTCAAGACACTGTTTTTTCCCATGGGACACCTGGGTACAGAACCCGCCCATGAAATGAGCACACCTCTTCCAAGGTACCATTCCACTGCTTCCACCAATGTAGTGTTTTTTTGCAAACAGCAACGGTGTAATGCCCCTTTCATCTCAAACCCAGGTCTCCCTGCCTGTAGGCAAACAAATATTGTAGTGAATTCAGGGGGTAGCCCCAAGCAGGTTTTGAACCTGGGTCCATCAACTGTCAAGCCAACACCTTAAGCGTGTTAGGTTCTAAATGAACCTAGTAAAACTCAGGGACGTTTAGTAAAGCTCAAACCAAGTTTATTCACCCATTGGATCATACAGCTGCATAAAACAAAGAACATTTTCACACAAGCATTGGTATTTAACCCTTTCTCCTATGCTGAGCCCCTCCTTACACATCGGAACAGCCAATACACCTCTGTTGCTATCCAGAAGATTAGTGATATATGTTCTTCCTCACTTCATCTAACCTGACCTCTGCCCAAATTGCTCACTCCTCCCCAACTCACGGCTGTCATGTTGACTTGTACCAGACTGTGTCTCTTCTCCTCCCATAGGATCCCTGATGGCTAACAATAACATATCCTGACAGAATGGAAACGTTATACATTCCCCTCTCTCCCTCAGTGACAGGAATAAGTATATTTCATGTTTAGAAGTCAGAACCTAACAAGCGCTACGCCAAGAGGTCCAAACCTCTCGATGATGTGGCTAGGTGTTGGATTAAAGTATTTGATCCCCTGCTGATTTTGTACGTTTGCCCACTGACAAAGAAATGATCAGTCTATAATTTTAATGGTAGGTTTATTTGAACAGTGAGAGACAGAATAACAACAACAAAATCCAGAAAAACGCATGTCAAAAATGTTATAAATTGATTTGCATTTTAATGAGGGAAATAAGTATTTGACCCCCTCTCAATCAAAAATATTTCTGACTTTCAGGTGTCTTTTATACAGGTAACGAGCTGAGATTAGGAGCACACTCTTAAAGGGAGTGCTCCTAATCTCAGCTTGTTCCCTGTATAAAAGACACCTGTCCACAGAAGTAATCAATCAATCAGATTCCAAACTCTCCACCATGGCCAAGACCAAAGAGCTCTCCAAGGATGTCAGGGACAAGATTGTAGACCTACACAAGGCTGGAATGGGCTACAAGACCATCCCCAAGCAGCTTGGTGAGACGGTGACAACAGTTGGTGCGATTATTCGCAATTGGAAGAAACACAAAATAACTGTCAATCTCCCTCTGCCTGGGGCTCCATGCAAAATCTCACCTCGTGGAGTTGCAATGATCATGAGAACGGTGAGGAATCAGCCCAGAACTACACGGGAGGATCTTGTCAATGATCTCAAAGCAGCTGGGACCATAGTCACCAAGAAAACAATTGGTAACACACTACGCCCTGAAAGACTGAAATCCTGCAACGCCCTCAAGGTCCCCCTGCTCAAGAAAGCACATATACATGCCCGTCTGAAGTTTGCCAATGAACATCTGAATGATTCAAAGGAGAACTGGGTGAAAGTGTTGTGGTCAGATGAGACCAAAATGGAGCTCTTTAGCATCAACTCAACTTGCCATGTTTGGAGGAGGAGGAATGCTGCCTATGACGCCAAGAACACCATCCCTACTGTCAAACATGGAGGTGGAAACATTATGCTTTGGGGGTGTTTTTCTGCTAAGGGGACGGGACAACTTCACTGCATCAAAGGGATGATGGATGGGGCCATGTACCGTCAAATCTTAGGTGAGAACCTCGTTCCCTCAGCCAGGGCATTGAAAATGGGTTGTGGATGGGTATTCCAGCATGACAATGACCCAAAACACATGGCCAAGGCAACAAAGGAGTGGCTCAAGAAGGAGCACATTAAGGTCCTGGAGTGGCCTAGCCAGTCTCCAGAGCTTAATCCCATAGAAAATCTGTGGAGGGAGCTGAAGGTTCGAGTTGCCAAACGTCAGCCTCAAAACCTTAATGACTTGGAGAAGATCTGCAAAGAGAAGTGGGACAAAATCCCTCCTGAGAAGTGTGCAAACCTGGTGGCCAACTACAAGAAACATCTGACCTCTGTGATTGCCAACAAGGGTTTTGCCACCAAGTATTAAGTCATGTTTTGCAGAGGGGTCAAATACTTATTTCCCTCATTAAAATGCAAATCAATTTATAAAAATTTTGACATGCGTTTTTCTTGATTTTGTTGTTGTTATTCTGTCTCTCACTGTTCAAATAAACTTACCATTAAAATTAAAGACTGATCATTTCTTTGTCAGTGGACAAACGTACAAAATCAGCAGGGGATCAAATACTTTTTTCCCTCACTGTACATTACTCCCTTCTTTGGGGAAAGCATGCCCCCACACTTCTTTATAGCAAGTCTCTCACGTGTACATGCCTCTTTGATGGCCTCACAGGCACTATCCCACTTTTGACACCAATGTAACGAATTAAGGGATAGCTCCAACCAGGACTCGAACCCGGGTCCAGCGACTATCAAGCCAACACCTTATCCATTACACTAAGAGATCAGATGGTGGTAATTGGTAGGTGTTGGGTTCAGCTTGCTACAGAATATACTTATATAGGGCAATGTGTGATCTGGGAGCGGCAGCACTACCACTAGTGCTCCTGACACAGCCTAACACAATCTTTACCTTCTGAACCTTAAAAACTGACCTAAAGTCAGATACATTTAGACAAATGTCACGAATGTCGGTGGAATGCGGTAGGCCAGAGTCAAGCGCAGGACACAGAATGAGCTGAAGAACCACTTTACTGAGTAGTAAAGAAATACAAGAAAACCCTCCAAAACAACAAAGGAGGAGCAAAACCCACACACAAAAGGACACTCGAACAAACAAATAAACACGCACACCAAACAGTGGACGTGTACAGGTTAAATAGGCAGACAAACTAACATAATGGGGAACAGGTGCGCAACAACAGAAACAATCAAGTGAACATAGAAACATCTAACATAGAGCGGCAGCAGCTAGTACTCCGGTGACGACGAACGCCGAAGCCTGCCCGAGCCAGAAGGAAGGGCAGCCTCGGCAGAATCCGTGACAACAAACCACCATGTGAGCAGCAAGTGTAGGGTTAATGGAGTGAAGTGGGGGATGGGTAGGACCACCAGTATCAACTATATGTTTATGAATGCATTACTATTAATGCGTTACTAAAACGGATGGATGCTCTTCATCAACACCATCTCACCTGTGAAACTAGATATCAGCAATCAATCAACAAGACTATTGAAATGGAGCAAATGAAGACATTAGAACTACTAAAGGTCAGATATTATATTCTGACACCAATTTCCTACTGGTAGATTTTGTACATGATCTGTCAATCCTGAGAGCAACGCTCTCTCTCCTCCCCTTCCCCCATCTCTCTTTGCTGGGGTGAAGTTTCCCCTAGATACAGATCTAGGATCAGCTTCCCCTCCCCCAAACCTAACAATGATCATTAGTGGGAGGATTTTAAACCTGATCCAAAGCCAGTGTCTATTTGGGAAACTTGTCCCTTCCCCCACAACTCTACATGTGGATGCGGCTTCCTCCATCTCACCATGTTCACAAAGAAAATGGCAGTGTATTTCAGCTGTAAGTATTTTGAAGTTACTAGCTATATTATTTGAATTGAAATTACGTAGCTTCATTATTATTCAACAATAACTCGGCCAATGTAGCATGTTATATTTTGTCGATGCATGGAAAAGTATTAGCTATGTTGAAGCAGTATGTTAGCTAGCAGCTAGCTAGCTAGCCACTTTTCCTGGCTATACTGATAGGTTAATTAGCCAGCTAGCTAGCTGCTAAAGGTTGCTAGACTAGACATTAATACATTTCAGAATTTCTTATTAGTGCATTGCTTATCTTTGCTATGATGTTTTAGATGTTCTCATATGAAAGCATTTTGTGTTGTGCATAATGTTACAACCTCCAATGGTAGGCTAGCTAGCTAAATTAGCTACTGGTAGCTAGCTACATTGTAATGCAAATGTGGTGCCTTGTGGTCCTAGCTAGGTAGCTTTGCTGTGGCAGGCAGAGTTATTTTTTGCGCAAGTCACAATGTGAGTCATTTTGTTTAGCAGTGATTGCATTTTGAAATAGCAGCTTGGGATAGTTATTAGAAATATTTCACTATTCAAATATGGATATTTGGATGATCCAAATACATCTTTCTTTTTTTTTTGAAAACATTTTTTTTTTTACTGCAAGACTGGCAGAGACAGTGTGGTGCTAGAAGGGCAGGTTTGATTGGGAGAGACAGTTGTTGCTGCCATAGATCTGTTATACTATACATTATTAATGACATGTCCATTTTTCATTTTTTCTTGTCAGAACATGGATAAAAGCAGGAATCTCTCTGTTGCCAATGTATGTAGCCAACCTACTGCATTTCCTGCATTTTAAAGTGCCAATCAGCAGTTGCAAAATCCATTTTTGGACATGCAATTTAATTATATACAGTGGGGAGAACAAGTATTTGATACTGTCACGATCGTCTAAGGAGGAGGACCAAGGCGCAGCGTTGAAGGTGAACATATTATTTATTATACTGATCAAACGATCAAAACAACAGACGATAACGTGATGTCTACGGTTTAACACAAACCAAATAAGAACAAGAAACCACAAACACAAAGGAAAAGACAGACAGTTTAAATATGGCTCCCAATCAGAGACAACCAGCTGACACTCGTTGCCTCTGATTGGGAGTCACTCAGGCCAACATAGAAATACAAACTAGACCCACAACCTACAACACAAAACATAGAAACTAACACCCTGGCTCAACATACGAGAGTCCCCAGAGCCAGGGTGTGACAGATACACTGCCGATTTTGCAGGTTTTCCTACTTACAAAGCATGTAGAGGTCTGTAATTTTTACAAAAATCCAGAAAATGCCATTGTATTATTTTTAGGTAATTAATTTGCATTTTATTGCATGACATAAGAATTTGATCACCTACCAACCAGTAAGAATTCCGGCTCTCACAGACCTGTTAGTTTTTCTTTAAGAAGCCCTCCTGTTCTCCACTCATTACCTGTATTAACTGCACCTGTTTGAACTCGTTACCTGTATAAAAGACACCTGTCCACACACTCAATCAAACAGACTCCAACCTCTCCACAATGGCCAAGACCAGAGAGCTGTGTAAGGACATCAGGGATAAAATTGTAGACCTGCACAAGGCTGGGATGGGCTACAGGACAATAGGCAAGCAGCTTGGTGAGAAGGCAACAACTGTTGGCGCAATTATTAGAAAATGGAAGAAGTTCAAGATGACGGTCAATCACCCTCGGTCTGGGGCTCCATGCAAGATCTCACCTCGTGGGGCATCAATGATCATGAGGAAGGTGAGGGATCAGCCCAGAACTACACGGCAGGACCCGGTCAATGACCTGAAGATAGCTGGGACCACAGTCTCAAAGAAAACCATTAGTAACACACTACGCCGTCATGGATTAAACTCCTGCAGCGCACGCAAGGTCCCCCTGCTCAAGCCAGCGCATGGCCAGGCCTGTCTGAAGTTTGCCAATGACCATCTGGATGATCCAGAGGAGGAATGGGAGAAGGTCATGTGGTCTGATGAGACAAAAATAGAGATTTTTGGTCTAAACTCCACTCACCGTGTTTGGAGGAAGAAGAAGGATGAGTACAACCCCAAGAACACCAATGGGATTGAGATCCGGGCTCTTCGCTGGCCATGGCAGAACACTGACGTTCCTGTCTTGCAGGAAATCACACACAGAACGAGCAGTGTGGCTGGTGGCATTGTCATGCTGGAGGGTCATGTCAGGATGAGCCTGCAGGAAGGGTACCACATGTGGGAGGAGGATGTCTTCCCTGTAACGCAAAGCGTTGAGATTGCCTGCAATGACAACAAGCTCAGTCCGATGATGCTGTGACACACCGCCCCAGACCATGACGGACCCTCCACCTCCAAATCGATCCCGCTCCAGAGTACAGGCCTTGGTGTAATGCTCATTCCTTCGACGATAAATGCGAATCCGACCATCACCCCTGGTGAGACAAAACCGCGACTCGTCAGTGAAGAGCAGTTTTTGCCAGTCCTGTCTGGTCCAGCGACGGTGGATTTGTTTCCATAGGCGACGTTGTTGCCGGTGATGTCTGGTGAGGACCTGCCTTACAACAGGCCTACAAGCCCTCAGTCCAGCCTCTCTCTATTGCAGACAGTCTGAGCACTGATGGAGGGATTGTGCGTTCCTGTTGTAACTCGGGCAGTTGTTGTTGCCATCCTGTACCTGTCCCGCAGGTGTGATGTTCGGATGTACCAATCCTGTGCAGGTGTTGTTACATGTGGTCTGCCACTGCGAGGACGATCAGCCGTCCGTCCTGTCTCCCTGTAGCGCTGTCTTAGGCGTCTCACAGTACGGACATTACAATTTATTGCCCTGGCCACATCTGCAGTCCTCATGCCTCCTTGCAGCATGCCTAAGGTACATTCACGCAGATGAGCAGGGACCTTGGGCATCTTTCTTTTGGTGTTTTTCAGAGTCAGTAGAAAGGCCTCTTTAGTGTCCTAAGTTTTCATAACTGTGACCTTAATTGCCTACCGTCTGTAAGCTGTTAGTGTCTTAACGACCGTTCCACAAGTGCATGTTCATTAATTGTTTATGGTTCATTGAACAAGTATGGGAAACAGTGTTTAAACCCTTCACAATGAAGATCTGTGAAGTTATTTGGATTTTTACGAATTGTCTTTGAAAGACAGGGTCCTGAAAAAGGGCAGTTTCTTTTTTTCTCTCTCATCCTCTCTTCTCTCTCGCCTTCTTCTCTCCTCCTTCTCTTTCTTATTTCGTCCTTTTCTCTCTCTCCATCTTCTTCTCTCTTCTTCGCCCTCTCTTCTCGTCCTCTCATCCTCCTTCTCATTTCCAACATCCTTCTTCCTCTTCCTCTCTTCTCTCTCATTTTTCCTTTTCCATCTCCTCGTCTTCTATCATGTCCTTCTTCTCTCATCCTCTCTCTCTCATCTCCTTCTCTCTCCTCTCTCATCATCTTATCTCTACTCTTTTCTCATCTATCACCATCTCTTCCTTTATTCCTCATCTCCTCTTCTTACTCATCTCTCTCTCTCATCTATCTCTTTTCACACTAAAAGCCTCTCTTCATCATCCGTCTTTTCATCTCATCGCATACTCTATCTTTAACATCTTCGTCTCTTTTTCCTCTCTCTCTCTCCTCAATCCATTATCTCATATTCTCGTCTCTCTCCAATCTCTCCTCTATTCTTCTTCTTCTTTTCTCTCCTTTCCCTTCTCTCTCCTTCCATATCGCTTTCCTTTTTAGTTTCTCTCCCTCTCCTATCCCTATCTCTCCCTCTTCTCTCGTTCATCTCTCCCTTCTCTCTACTCCTTCCCCCATCCCTTCGTCCCTCTAGTCTCTCTTATCTTTTTTCGTCAACTTTCTGCTCTCATCCTCGTCTCTTCTATCTCTCGTTCTTCACTGGTCTTCCATGCCTGTAAGGATTTTCTCTCTCTCTCTTATCTCATCCTTCTTTGTCTTCACCTGCGTATTTAGTCCCTTCCTATCCCTCTCCTATCTCTGTCTCTCGATCCCTCATTAGTCTTCTTATATCTCTCAAATCCTCTCGTCTTTCAATAAATCTATTCTTCTATTACATCTATCTTCATTCCATCTCAAAACTCTGCCCCCAGCATCTCTCATATTATCCCCCCTTTCTACTCTTTTTCTGTCTCATCTATCTAGGATATATCTGTCGCGTGTTCTCCTACTTCTCTACTCTTCTCTTTCTCTCTCTCTAATTTCTTATCTTCGACTTTCCTCGCCCTCTCGCCCGCTACCTCCATCTCTCTCATCTCTCTCTCTCTCATCTCCTCTCTCCTCTCATCTCTTCTCCTCATCCTATTCTCTCGCTCATCCTCCTTCTCTCTCATCCTCTCTTCTCTCTATCCTTCTCTCTCTCCGTCCTCTCTCTTCTCTCTCTCTCTCATCCTCTCTTCTCTCTCTCGTCCTCTTTTCTCTCTCTCATATCTCTTCCACCTTTTCTTACTAATCCATTCATTTTTACTCATTCATTGAAACTGCAGTGCTGGTTATAGAGTGGAGGTAGAAGTGCATTTCCTTGCTTATAAAAGTGTTGACAGTGCTGAATAAAAACTTCAACATGTACTGTACTGTGTCAAAGAATACAGCAAATACTCTCTCTAGTCATGGTTTTAGAAGTTTTTAAATCTCATAGTATCAACTTTGCTGTCCGCTCAAGGAAGCTGCTGACACAGTAATCTGATTGATCTGATTGGCCAGTAGTGGGCCTATAGGTGCACTTGATTTGAGCTCCAGACCCGGCGGGTAGGCGGAGTTTGTACTTTCAGACACATTAAATGGTTAAAAATGGGATCACTTCGCCTACCCGACACGCAGTGCAGCTGAATCAAGGGCACCTATTGCCAACAGTGCCAAACAAATTAAAAAAGTAGTAATGAAAGGCTTTATCGTTGGGGTTTTTATATAAATGTTTGGCGATCTAATTGGAATGCCTTGGAGATCAACCAGTTGATTGGGATCGACCG